GTACCTGTACCTCGATGTGTTCCTCTATCTGCAGTCACCTTTAACCTTCGGTCAAGTTAACGTTTATTGTGCTCTATTTCTCGTGCGAATCAAAATAAACAATAATAACACAAGTCGTGCTAGAGTGACGACATGTGCGTGTAGTAGGGTTGACGCGATGGGACGTTATAATTAGGTGGAACAGAACACACATTGGGCAGATTGATTGGGCATCATTGATTGTGCTCAGTCTAAACAGTGAACATAATAATTATCTCCAGTGACAGACTGTAGCGGCTAGCCTCCAATAGGTAGCTGGCACTAGTCGCTACTGCTTGTTTGACAGGTGCCGCCAGAACCCTGGTTGTGTCATGCTATAGATGCACATGCCCTATTCTGGGGCATACTGAGGTACTTTGATTTTGTTGACTGCATGTAGAAAGCATCCAATAGTAGTACTCGTAGACATTAGCTCTTTGTAGCTCAACCACCATCGCATGGATCGATCGGTGACTATGCACTTGGAGGTTGAAATAGCCCGCGCTGAACAGATCTTGCGATGGCCCAGGGAGTGAACTCGCTTACTTGACTATCCCGGTTTTAGTTAACCAGCATGAGTGGTGCAATTTGTCCACACCATGTTGCGAGCTCACAATTGGGCAGGTTTTGAGCTGCACCACGAAACAAAGCGAAATAACGGCGTGACTGTAGAGCAAGGAAGCGGCGAGACGGCACTTCCAGGACGAGACAGGCAGTAGAGATGTGTTCACAGCACGAGCAACCTCTCAAACCCTGCCGGTACTCCACAGTTACAAGAAAATGTCGGACTGGACGACGCGCCAATGCAAACCTGCTACATCCATCCAGGCAGATAGCTGCCAAACCAGGCCAATGTCGACCCACTGCATATCGGTATGTCAATGTCAAACAGATCCTGCAGGAGAAGACTGGGATGATATTGGCGTCCAGTGTACGGACACCAGTCACATTTCCTGCGTCTTTTGCAGCATACAGGATAGACTCATCACTGTAAAGTCCACTACTTCGTGATTTTTATTTGTAGAATACATGACAGGCGTTATTCAGTGTGCCTCGCAGGACTGCGAGATGCTGCAGAAGACCAGGTTCGACCTTTCTAGACCGCCATTCACCGACGGTGGGCTACACGATGCTGGAGGAACTAGATTCCAGTGAAAACCCAAGATTCCTTTGCTCCTGGACGCTCCGACGTGTTGTGATATCTGCCAGGTGCGCAGTAACTAGTATTTTCATCGCTATAGCGAGGACGACGCCGATCGGCAAACTCTCGCTCACAGCCATCACCAGCCTCTCAAAACCATCACTTGGCATCCCCCAGAGGTATAGGAGAAAGCCAAAACAGCTCTCAACAAACAAAAGCTAAGGACGATGGAAAGAGAGCATGTCAAAAAGAAGACGAACAGTATGAAGTTCAAATGGGTTTGAACACTCGTACCACCAACTATACCACTTTCAATAAATCGTGACGCCATTTTGTTTTAACACGCATACGGTCCATTCAACTGTTGAAGACACTTTTAACAGAGTACATATAGAGGCGACGGTTTCAAATAGGACACAGGTTGCAAACCGGAACGGACTCAATATTCACTTTCTCTCTTGGTATTTTGATTAGAAAACATATGTCACAGTGAGACTACGATGTGTTATACCCCGAGCCAAAATTTCATGGCTCTGCGATGACCAGAAGCGCAATACCAAGCAGGTGAGTTTTGACGTGTTGCTTCGCACTGCGACTTGAGTTTTACGACTTTCGAAAAATCAACTTCTTGTCGCAAGTAAACAGCGGCTCGCCTCTCGCCAATAAAGCACCGCATACCAATCAAAACTAATGGAAGCACACACAAGGCTTATTGTTACTCTGTACTGGCCGTCGTGCAGCGATAGCAATTACCTAATTTCAGACCCCGAGTGAATTTGACGTGCACTCTAAAACGTGTCCGGTTTGGAGCCACCTCTGATTTAAACTTTTTTGAAGCGAAAAATTGGGCAACTTGGAGGCAATGGGTCAACACAAAAGAGTGGCTCAGTTCGATTGACTCTGGCCCCAGAGCAAACTTCAACATGCCAGTTTCCTTCCACAAACATATTTCGAGTGAAAAATCAAAGCTGATGATCGGTTTGGGTCTATACAAATCTGGCTGTCAAGGCGTTCCAGTATCGAACCGTCTACTCTACACATACATGTACATGTACATGTACTCGACAGGTTCTCCATTTGGGGTGAAGGACAGTTCATGAGATACATGTACATGTGAATTTGGCGCGAAATAATTGCACGTCGTTACATATGAAGAGAACACAGGAAAATGACGCAGTGACATTGTAATTATAAAAAAATGTCACGGAGTCACTCCTATCCCGGTCTGCATCGCAGCCCTTGACGGATACTGTAGGCAGAAAATTGGCATAATTGGGTGGTTTTTTTCTGGTATGTTTCATGCATGTGTGGTATGTACATGTAGATAAAGAAATGGAGCAGAATTGAAGGAAGCGCCCGCCATAACATTTGTATGGTTCTGCCAATTTCACAGCTTTTCGAGCAGAATCTGCCAATATTTCCAGCAGTATCCGCCACAGGCTACTGCATGGTGCAGAGCATGGCACCATGCAGACCAGGAAGAGGGGTGGATGTGGGGGGGGGGGGGGGGGTGCAACCAACCCTTATCCCTTGTTACCATTTGGCCGATTTTGGGGTGATGTAAGACGCGTGGAATCCCGCCAATCACCATCGTATCAACAGTCCGCCCAAAGCTCCACGGACATGCACGCACGACTCAATTAAAAAAAAGGAGAGTATGTACATGTACATGTATATGTATGAGGGGATGCATTATTGTTCTTACACATGAACATGTACATGTACCTTGACGTGAATCTCTACAATTCGTAACCCATGATTGATTTCTAACTGTAGCTTTGTAAGAAGGTGTATTGTATGTCTACGTCAACGGGTCCTAGAAACAAGGTATTACGACGCTAAATTAAGACATTGAGTTTTACAAGTGATTGCACAGTGTAGTCTTTACGTCAGCATATCATTATCACAGCGAACATTATGATCAAGACTCTGCGTAGGAAGTGAGTACTGATATTATAAATCGCGCTTTCCAGGACGTGTCCAGGGTTGCCAGTAGTGTTGTGGTGACGAAATCTTCCAAATCATTATACATCCTGAAATGTTGCTACATGTATATGCTTTGGCTTCTTTGCAACTGTTTTTATCAGAGCATTCCTTCGTCGTGTTTGAGCTACGATAAGGTGCTCTCCCGCAGGACAACTTGTACGTTTACCCTCGAGCGATACATCCGTTGAGTCTGCCTTTGAGCATTTAGAAAAATTATATCTGTGAACAAAGTGTGCAGCCAGCTTCGGACCGGCGTTTTCGTCGACGTAGGGAAGCTTTGTGAATACGCCGTTGGCGTGTTCGTAGAGAGTCCAGCTTGTGATGCCTGCGGAGTACATTACAATTCCGTTACTTTTAAAATTTGCGACTTTTCTTGCTAGGGAAACTCCCCAACGGGTTCGCCTATGACGGGTATAGTTGTGTTCTGTGAGCTTGTACGACGTATGACCAGATGTCTACAACTGTACATACCGATACAGCAGGAAATGTATGCGGTAAATACACGGGACTGATGTGCTGACAGGTCATTGGTGTTATAGCCTCTGACGTCAGCGAAACGGCTATTGTCCCAGCAAGTATTTTTAACATGTTGTAGAACATTGAGCCAACTATAGTCTGCAGAAGACTGTCACTAGCAATGCGCCATGTATACGACGCTGAACAAAGACATGCTCGTTTTTAGCATCATGATAAGTCCATTGTGCCGATTGGAATGTTAGCTACATGTACAAAGTTGGACTGCTTCGCACCCGTATGTGCTCGATCATTGGTTATTGCGCTGTGCCAGGGCTCAAAACAATCGCATAATCGTCATTCTGCCAATCTGGCACCGCTTGGCGTATGCACAGGCAGCAGCAGCATCTCTGCGACGATAGGAACACAGCAGTGGCCTAACATAACAAGCACTCGCAGTGAAATGATCGACCTTACACTGCTTCCTAGTGCCGTCTACCATCAGCCGGTTGCGATGCCACTCATGCATGGCGCAAGCTCAGTGTGCGTGTGAAAACTACTGAAGACGCACATCGGAACAACATGACATTGTGTGGATTGGGGGGGGGGGGGGGGAGGGGGGGGGGGAGAAATCTTGATTGCTAATGAATGCTGTGGACTCGGAGCACAGTCAAAGTATAATGACGTCTCAGGTAAGGTTGGTACTTTCAATCCAAACAATGCCACATATCATTATTGTAACGCTGCGGAAGAACGTAAACGCTTTTTCGTGTAGAACTCATGTTCTCTGCGATCCTATCTGTGCCGGCTCGGGATGCCAGTCCAACCAGCTTGAGCTGCTACAGATCCAGTAATAAGGACCCTGGTATTTGCCAGTAAATGTATCCTTTTAAACAGTATACAACCCATCATGTACCTAGGCTATACAGGGTGGCGCACCTAGGAAACCCATATAACCACAATGTGGCACACCAAATCCATTTTCACGAGTTTCTTTACCAAAAACAATATTTAGCACGTTTGTCGTTCAAAAAAGACCACGCTACTACCTCTAGCACCATATTCTACGCACTGAGTGGGATTATCGAGACATTTCCCAAATAAACCGCAGGCTACGATAAAGCCAGCCCTTGCAACGCTCGTCCAAGCAATCAGGCTGACGTCTGCATGGATAAAATAGTTAGGGGCGTCCATGAACATGATCAATTTGTTTGATATGGCTGGTTTACATGCGCCTGTGCTAGCAAGCCTAGCTCCTCAGGTGTGCTGGCGAACATTAATATTTCATGCTTGTCATTGCTAGTCACCAACCGGCACTAACCGCCAACGTTGCAGCTAGTACTCCACCACACAGCTGTTGTTTTGTTGTAATAGGAATTTCTCAACGGTGCTTGCCCCGCTCATACATGGACTCGTGTAGCGAACAGACCATTGCTCTAGGGCAAGGATGGCTAAGCCGAGAGAAACACGACGAAGCTGCTCCACAAGCCAGATCGCTGAGACCTGCAAGCACTCCATGAACAGACAGTGGTCTAGTGTAGACCTCGCAGACTTTCGAAGGTTCATTTTTCATAATCTTGGCAGGGTGGCTTTGGTAGTTGATCAGCAGTGCGAGCACTACTGCCTGTCGATATGAGAGGTTTCCTCTCTTGGGCTACATCGCTAGCACCAACTATTATTGTGTTAACTTTTAAACACTAACTAATGCCTGCAATCTAAGACGTGGCAGCATGGCGCTTTGGAAAAATACGTATTTCGTTTGTCTAGTTTTAGTCTGCGTCCTATTGGAGCAATGCAATTGTCAGCTGGCACCTCGCCCACGGCCGCGATCACCTAAATCACCTATGGCACCAGGCAGGAGGCAGCCTCTTCCTTCCAGGCCTGGTGGTGGATTTGCAGGAAGCCCAAGGGCAGGAGTAGTCGCAAGTCCAGGAAGACAACCCTCTTCGGGACCAGGCTCTAGAGGGCTACCCAGAAGACAGCCGCGGCCTATGCCCAGGTATCCTAGCAGGCCTGGCAGGCCTAGCCAGCTATTACCACGACCATACGACTACAGGGGTCGTGAACAAGCTCCGAACATGGTGCATCCACCGCCCAGAATGGTCACAGCGCAACCTGTAACCTATCCTGGCGCTGGTGGAGCTCCGCACGGGAGAACGTTTTGCGGAGCAGGTGAATACTATACTCCCGGGCAGGAGATGTGCTGTTCGCGCGAAGTTGTACCCATGCCATATGCCATGCCACCTGAGTAAGTTTGAAATCGATAATTATAACGGTTAAGTTACTATTCAATAACTTTCATAAGTTAAGGGAATGGAAAAGGGAAACGCCTGATGAAAAAATTGACTGTCGCCACCAAGAATCGAACTAGGGACCTTCTCTTGAGGCCAACGACGCTCTGACCACTGAGCTATGGTGTAGCTGTGATACCAGCAGAGACCGTTCAACGTCATCCTCTTCAGAATTTGAAACTCACACTTGCTGTGACTCTACACAGGCGGGTGGGACGCAGCCCTCACTGCAGCCACACACTTCACGCACAAACTAGTACACAGGGAGCCTCAATGCATTAAGCATTCGTAAGTTAAGGAAACGGAAACGTATAATAGTTCCTCCAAAAATATAGAACGATGTATCTTCTCCATAATTCTGTAGTGTGCACAACAATAATTTATGCCATTAACTTCAACTTCACTCCGGGCATTAAGTAGTCCAAACTCCCCGCGTACTGCTTATGGCCGACCTCATTCGCCGCACGAGCCAGCAACACGACGCCAGGTTACTGTAGATGAGGGCATACATGTCCCCGTGCAGCTGGTCCGGTCGTACAGATTCCATCCACGAAGGCCATACGACTACTGGCTGGCTAGAATGTGTGAATAGAACTACATTGCATTTGGAACACAGAGTTTGGCAGGTGTTTGGACTGGTTAACAGTCCGAATGCTGCTGCTCCTTACTGACGTTTAAGGCAGTTTTGTTTAGTATCCACTCTAATATAGCCTACTACTTCGAAGTATTCAATCCCAGGCTTTTGAAGTGTTTGGTGTGAACAAACTATCTGGGTTTTTTTTTTCATGTTCTAGGTTTTCGGAATGCTGCGATGGCGAAGTGATAGACAATCGTACCGAAACTTGCTGTGCGGGTGAGAGGGTGTTTGTGAACGAGCAGGGATGCTGCGGAGGGGAGCCGTACGAAATCCGATCACAATCGTGTTGTGGAACTCGGCTTTATGAGCCTCGAGGCCGGATTTGCTGTGGCGGTCAGTTGATCAGAGCAATGAACACGCTCTGCTGCCGTGGTAATCCTGTGGCAGTCAAGGGCGATCCGAACAAGCACATCTGTTGTGGAAGTATGGCGGTCAACACTGTCACACAGAAGTGCTGTGGCAAGCGCGTGGTGTCCATCGATTCGGTGACTCGCGGCTGTTGTGGAGAGCGAATGGTCTACGATATGGAGACAGAAAGCTGCTGCCAGGATGATGTGACTGGAAGATTTCGAATCAAACCGGGTTTGCGATGCGGATTGGCATCTCCGGCGTTACCATTACAGTACCAGCCCGGGCATGGAGCCGGTCCCGAACATGGAGGTGTTCCCGTGCATGGAGGTGTTCCCGTACATGGAGGTGTTCCCGTACATGGAGGTGCTCCCGTACATGGCGGTGTTCCCGTACATGGAGGTGTTCCCGTACATGGAGGTGCTCCCGGACAACAGGCGCATTTGGTACAGGGTGGTGGTGGATTCCAGTACCTCCCTTCTCAAGGCGGGTATCAAACAATCATCCCACAACCTGGTGCTGTAAATCGCCTCCTTCTGGTTCCCATTCCTCAAGCGCCCGGCAATCCCGGACCCCAATACCTACCCCAGAGACGCCCAACACCGATCCAACTGCCACCGGGGCTTCCGGGCAACTTTCCAAGATATATAGGAGATCGGCCTTCCCAAGCGCAGGAGCCTTCGTTTAAACCCATACAATATCCCAGCCTCCTACCAACCAAATTGCCAGCAACATATACAGGTAGTCTCGTGTACTTCAGTCCAACAACGAAGAAACCATGATGGTATAGAGAGTATGCATTAGTTTGCGGGGAATGTGCAAACGGGAAAGATTGACTGTCCCCGCCAGGACTCGAACCAGGGACCCGTGCTTATGGTCAGCCATGCTCTGCCGCTAAGCTATGGGTAGTTAATAATCTTTATTTCAGGATTACCCAAAGGCTAACGCCTATCTGGGGGATCTCCTATTTGTTATGGAGAGTGCTATGATTTCCACTGGAATGCTGTTTAATCTGCACATAACGCCCTGTCTACAAGCACTAGCTCTGTTGTTGGCAAGAACGGTTAGAACCTTGTTTTGATACCAGTACCCGTATACAATGTACTTGATGATGGTTAAAAGCAACAGACGGAGAGAGAGAGAGAGAGAGACAGACAAATATATATACAGACTGAAGTATAGACCCTAGACTGGACGTCTGCACCCCTTTATTTCTTTATGGAGCAATCAGCACCTTGGCCTGCGTTGCACAATGTAGGTCTATGCATAGTGTCACTGGCATAGCACACTAGCATCGCACTTTGTACTTCGTTTCGGACACAAGTGTGCAGTTGTATGCAAAACTAGAAACGAGAGGCAAGACGTTTCTCTACAGATTTGAAACCAAGGGAGCAGGAAACAGTGTCGCCAGGTTTGTGCAGTCACCAGCAAGAGCTCTGGTCTCTACATGATAGTATGATACCCTTTCCTCTTTCTATACCGCAAACAGTTTAGTTACATATGTTATGCTATTGTCTTGAGCGCTTCGTACTGAGTTACTGTGTTTCATTTCTTGCACTTTGAGGTCTTGAGACTAACATTTCTATCTGTAATCTGTAACATTCTTTACTCACTCCTATACTTAACAAGAGGTAGTGATTAGATATTCTGATAATTCGAATAGTAACTGTTGGTGTGAGAATGTCATCGTGGGCAGTTGCGGCAAGAATGTGGAATGTTGGTACAATGGTACCTGATGAATTGGGTAATTTTGTACAACCTCGCGCCAACTTGCCACATTTTGGCACTTCATTTTGGTGCTAGAATGTGGGCAGCTCGTGCGAGAATGTGGAATGAATGTGCAAGAATGTGGAAACTTCCACATTTCGACCCAAACTTTCCACAAACCTGCACCATCTTTCCACATTATCGTACCAGAATTCCAAATTCTCGAGCCAACGTTTGATTAGGGAATGTGGGAAGTTGGCGCGAGAATGTGGAAGGTTGGTGGGAGGATGAGGCAATTTTCCATATTCTCGCTCCGACTTGCCACAGTCTCGTAAACACATACTTGAAGTACATGCACACTGCACTTCAAGGTACATGTGATTGTATCACCGGTTGTCCGGGGAAATCGACCTTCGAGGATTCCTGCGTTATGTGAGAAAATCAAGGTTTCAGAGGTGATGTGGCAGCCCACATGCTGATTGCATTGGCAAAACTTTTATGCCTTCTCTTCAGGTTATACATGTATACAGGCTAGATCAAACAGGAGCGAGAACAATGAATTATGTACAGTAAAGAGGTGACACGCGTAAAGAGGTGATAAAACCGCGCAAAAAAGAATAGCTAAAACAACAATGGTGATTAATGCTTGACCCATACACATACATGTACATCTACAAACAGCATGCTGTCCGGAGATTGAGTACAATCATGTACATATACATGTAGAAAGAATGGCAAAAATTCAAACTCAGAAACCTAATCTATGCAAACAGAAGCAGATCGAATTCACAAGGTGATTGACAGGTCGTCAATTTAGGCCCCGGCGGATAACGCTCGAGCATTTGGTGGATTTTTCTTTTCAATATGCTCGCATTCTGCTCCAAAATAGCACTGAGAATGCTTAAATTCTGCTTCGGAAAAATGAAAAATGTGGCATAGTTTAATGATGTTGCAGATTGATAACAGCATACAATGTATTTTGCAGCATAAGTCATGTTCTACGAAAATGAAAAATACAAGAAGCACAGAATTATTATTACTCTGCAGGCAAGGGCGCGGTAGTACTAGTCGCGAGGGCATTGTGAATTCTCACAAAATCCCATATTTTGCAATAGTATGCTAGTTTTCGCAAGAATACGCTAGTTTTCGGCAACACTTGCCGGATTATGCTAGCGCAGAAAGTGCTACTTATGCTGGATATAATGATAGCATTATCCGCCGGGGCCTAGATCACTCGTCATCAACACGTTAGTTGTGTCCATTGGTTGTTGTTGTTGTTGTTGTCGTTGTTGTTGTTGTTGTTGTTGTTGTTGTTGTTGTTGTTGTTGTTGTTGTTGTTGTTGTTGTTGTTGTTGTTGTTGTTGTTGTTGTTGTTGTTGTTGTTGTTGTTGTTGTTGTTGTTGTTGTTGTTGTTGTTGTTGTTGTTGTTGTTGTTGTTGTTGTTGTTGTTGTTGTTGTTGTTGTTGTTGTTGTTGTTGTTGTTGTTGTTGTTGTTGTTGTTGTTGTTGTTGTTGTTGTTGTTGTTGTTGTTGTTGTTGTTGTTGTTGTTGTTGTTGTTGTTGTTGTTGTTGTTGTTGTTGTTGTTGTTGTTGTTGTTGTTGTTGTTGTTGTTGTTGTTGTTGTTGTTGTTGTTGTTGTTGTTGTTGTTGTTGTTGTTGTTGTTGTTGTTGTTGTTGTTGTTGTTGTTGTTGTTGTTGTTGTTGTTGTTGTTGTTGTTGTTGTTGTTGTTGTTGTTGTTGTTGTTGTTGTTGTTGTTGTTGTTGTTGTTGTTGTTGTTGTTGTTGTTGTTGTTGTTGTTGTTGTTGTTGTTGTTGTTGTTGTTGTTGTTGTTGTTGTTGTTGTTGTTGTTGTTGTTGTTGTTGTTGTTGTTGTTGTTGTTGTTGTTGTTGTTGTTGTTGTTGTTGTTGTTGTTGTTGTTGTTGTTGTTGTTGTTGTTGTTGTTGTTGTTGTTGTTGTTGTTGTTGTTGTTGTTGTTGTTGTTGTTGTTGTTGTTGTTGTAGAAGTTTATTTAACGTCGCACCACAAACAGGCGGTTTCGCCTCCTTTGATACACGTGGACGACAGAGGGAATGAGAGAGAGGTGACGCAGAAATACGGAGAGATGAAAGGTAGAAAATAAATAAGTGAGTCAACCTGGCTTCTCTTGTCCATTCTATTAAGCTTGAGTTGTGCCCACCTCATCTCATGTGTTTTAATTGGTTCTCTTCTCTAAGAACTAGAAACTCACTCTTCCTCCCGAAGTGTAACTCATCCACTCTTTTGCGCTCCCCTCTCTTTATTGCTTATTCGGTTTGGCTCACTCTACCCAGAGAAGTTAAGGCTCTGACCTCACTCCGCCTGTTTAAGATCCGTGCCGCCCCTTATTTACTACGACATAAATAGCTCATTATCCACATGTCCTTTGCGTCTCTGTGTTTTTCACTGTTTTTATTTGACATTATCTTTCTTTACGGAGTTGTTGTTGCTGTTCATTTTGCTACTCCTTCTTTTTCCCTCCCCTTACTTTTATTTATCGCCGTGGTTGGCAATCAACCACGCTCTTAACATTGGCCGGTGTTTCCACCGAGTCTATGATAGTTTCAATACGGTTTGTGTATATGTCAGTTATAGTGAGTGCGCAATGCTGCTTTTCTAATTCTCATTATGATTAGCATGCAATGTACTACCCGAAGTACTGAATTTACTTCTTCTGCACTCTATATTCTAATGTATCTTCTACCTCTTCTCCCTTACGAACATACTTTCTCATTTTCCATACTTACTTAGGAGACTCCCTTCGATAGGAGGATCCGTGAAATAAAAATCAATCAATCAATCAATCAATCTTGAGATGTTGTAATAAATAAATAAATAAACCTCAGGGCCACACTAAAGCAAAAAACGGAATAGGAATTCTATTAAATTTTACAAAATAGCATCATGCAGTATTGCGAAACACGTTTCCTATTCTTTAGTCCGCTATACCACAGAAACACACTGGCCGAAAAGCATTTAAACGGAGCCATGATACGCTTTTAGCAGGGCACAGAACTGAAGGTGGCTGGGGTCGGAACGGAGTTCAGGCGGGAGCTGGTTCCACAGGACTACGCCGATGAACTGTATGGTCGCTTGACCAGCAGGGCCCGGCCAAAATGGTACTAGGAGATGGTGATGTGCTGCTCCCCGAGTGCGGTGACCAGCAACCCTCAGGAAGAAGCTGGTGAAGAGGGAGCTAGCTCGAGAGAACAGACAACGATGGACAAAGACGAGGAGCTAAAATGGTTGTTTTGTGTCATCTCACTGAATTTCACATTTGTTTGGTTTCTTCACTACAGGTAATTCATTTTCCTTGCTCCTGTTTGCTTTTGAGTGTGTTTCACCTGAAGAGAAAGCACAGACGGTGCGAGATTGCGGAATGTTGGTGCGAGAATGTAGAAGGTTGGTGCAAAGTGTGTTGAAAGTTGGTTTCGTAATGTGGAAGGTTTTTGCGATACTGTTCAAAGTTTGTGTCGGAATGTGGAATGTTGGTGAGAAATGTGGAAAATTGGTGCCAGAACGTTGAAAATTGGTGCGAGAATGTGAAACGTTGGTGTGAGAATGCGGAACGTTGGTGTGAGGATGTGGAAAATGGGTGTGCGAATGTGGAACGTTGGTGTGAAAATGTGGAATATTGGTGTGGAAATGTGGAAAATTGGTGCATGATCAAGCCATACTCCGTACAGATTATTGACCTCTCAGTCTGAAAGTGACAGGTATAGCAGAGGGTTGCTGCGAGAAAGTGGAACGTTGGTGCGAAAATGTGGAAATTTGATGCAAGAAAGTGGAAAGTTGGTGTGAGAATGTGGAACGTTGGTGTATGACCATGGCATAGTCCATAATTATAAATGCGTAGCTTTTAGTAATACACCGTACATTTTATGCAGAGTTCATTATCTGCACCGTACTATAATGCATATACGGAGCCGGCGCAAGCGAAAAGGGACCTTATCCTGCTGCACGTGATTTTGAGAAAACCGCACTTGAAGTGAATCAGCTGATTCTCAGCTGTCACGTTCGGATCAAACTTGAAACTGTTCGTTTTTTGGCGATACGCGACTTCTTTGGAGCTCAGTCATTCTTTGTATTGGAGAGCCAGTATCCTACAGCTCCTGTAGAAGAAAACCCTGGCTAAATCGACCCACGTACCACCGATCGGCGATCAAAATCGATCGACCGTGACCAGGTGACACGTCGACACCTCCGCTGAATAAAATCGCACGCGCGAGCGGAAAGACAAAGAGTTGCTTTCACAGTTTCAGCGCAGTTGTCTTGCCGTCTTCGCTTTCTGCTAAGTCCTTGGGTCGGCGTAGCTGTTCACTATGAGCCATCGTAAATGTTTCACCGTGAACGAAGCGCTGAAATCTCTCCTGGAAGAGATGAGGCTGAAGTTTTTGGTGAGGAAGACGAGTCGGACGCCAGTGACGTTCGGTTCAACCTGACGACGGCGACACTTTCTTCAGCAGCGAGTGGATGTCGACGCAGCAGCAGAGCTGTATGTCGGAAAGGCAGAGCCCAAACCTCCGCAGGCTAGCTCCGCAGCAGCTTGTGAAGCGACCGTTGCGCCGGCAGAGGAGGACGACACTGTTCGTCAAAAAGAGAACTGCGGATGTTCAAAAAATTGCTTGCAGCAATTTGACCCAGCTGACATCGAGACGTCGATCCTGAACATGAGAGAAATGGAGTCGCACGAGAGTGAGCTGGTGGTCCTGGGCCTTCTTGAAGCTTTGAGGCATCCTGAAACAGTTTTTGAGAGTGAAGAGAAGCGCAAGAGGGAGCGTTTTACCTACAAATTCCAAGGACTGACTGTTTGTGTGGGTGCGTTCCGTCACGTGTACGCACTGTCTAGCAAGAGGCTGAAACGGTACAGAAGCCACCTGGAGAAGAATGGGCTTGTGCCACTAGTGCACGGCAACACAGGCAAACGGCCACACAATGTCCTGGAGTTTGCTGTTGTGAAGTACTGCGCGGAGTACATCACTCGGCACGCGGAAGTGTTTGGAATTCCACATCCTGCGCCACTCCGTGGCAGAGACGACACGCCACCTATCTTCCTTCCAGCGTCACAAACGTACAAGTCCGTGCATGCAGACTTCTGCGACTGCTCCCACAAGGAGGGTAAGAAGTCTGTATCCTTGTCGACGTTCCGCTCCATCTGGCACCAGACATTGCCGCATATTAAGTTCATGACGGCTCGCATGGATGCTTGCCCGGTGTGCGAGGACTTGCGGCGCAACGTGATGGCGGCTGGGAGTGAGGAGCAGAAGACGACTGCATGCATCAGCTGACTGACCGTGTTCAGCTGTTGAATACCACACCTGAGCAGGTGAGAGCAGCAGGCCTTCCCCAAGTGTTGCCCCCAGCAGGTCTGTCACAAGAACGCCAGAAGTACCTGTTCAAGGATATCCGGCCGTTTGTGGCAGACCCTTACAAGGATGAGCTGTGTCCGCCTGTGCCGGAGGAATGACAAACTTGCGTACTGCAACACACGTTTTGAGCCTGATAATTGCAAGAGTCTGGTGCTGTGTCAAACTACATGCCTCAGAACATTCTATTATTCTTGTTGTTAGATCTAAAATGCGGCGTGCCTGCGTGGTACGGAAGGACGTGATGGCCCATCAGACGTCACGCTTGGCACTATAAATTCCATCACAGTGAAACTTATGCCACCTGCCCAGTAGTGTGTGTATACTGTATCCTCCAGCCCTTCTGCTGGTGACTCGAAGGCTTCTGTAAGGCTTCTATGGCCAAATTATTGCAATTTACGCATTTCAAAGATTATTCGTGAATATGTGCGATGTTTTGGTGAAAACAGTGTTGATTTAAACGTCCGTAACTTTGCTATATGTTGATGGATTTTCATTCGGTTTTTTTTATCTGATTCATACGTTCTCTGGCTACAAGAATCCGTTGCTAACTCAAAATGCCCAAAAAACGGATAAGGTCCCTTTTCGCTTGTGCTGGCTATTAGGGAGTTGTACTCACCCGTTTAGAGTATCTTCAGCGGGCTTTAAACTAATCCAAGGCCCTCGACGCGTCATCAAGAGTAGTAAAATAACGATTGAGCGGGCTTTAAACTCTGACAGGACCCTTGGCGGGAATGTCGCTGATTGGTCGTTTCCTGGACAACGAGCCAGACCTCGTTCTAAAGCAAATTCAAGTGACAGTTATCGCGCTAAGCACCATCTCCAATCACTGGCCACCTCACCTGTCACCTACATGTACATGTAGATGTACTTCGAAGTACATGTATCAATGCAATACAATACCCGGATAGGACGTGAAGCTCTCACTTGGGTTTAAAAAAAATAATAATTGAGATTGCAGACAAAAGTAGTCGCTGAGCCTGCCACACTCAATCATGTCTATTATTAGTATTTTTGCACTTGCCAGTGTCAAGCCTTGTTTCGAATTTAAAATGAAGACGAAGGCTCATTTACTTCGTTAAACAGTCCAAACCCCCAGGTACATGCACTTTGAAGTACAATGTATGTTGAGCTTCAGGACGGCTAGGGACCCCCGCTTCACAAGGTCGCACGCGGAAGCACGCTTACCTTTTCAATGGCGTGTGCAGGAGCAGATATCCTGACCGTCAATAGGTAAGGGTAAACTACACTCCATAAACTGTGTATACTTCGATAAGCAGTGTTAGCATTGATACAGAGCCGCTCATACCAGAGTGTATGGAGTGAATAGCGCCACATGGTCGCCAAGGTTGAATGCGAACCAATAAATATCAGGTAATCAGTGCACGGAAAACCGCTAGGTTGTACATGTATGATAGGATCCAGTGGAAAGTGATACTAGTAGTATACGTTTGTTCAGACTAGACTGTATTAGTGTAATACTGCCCCTACCCCAGTAATCGAGTATGCTCATGACTTACTAAGGCAGAATATCCTCGCCCATGATGATGCTCATGGCTGCCACTAACCACATACAAATAATGCAGAGCAATATACATGTACATGTACATGCAACGTTACAATCGTCATGTACAATTCATGCGCGGAGTAGCTACTAGTGCTTTCTATGGAGACATTTCGTGCATGACAATATTCAGCTTGCGAGTGTGCACAGTTGTAGAAAGACTTAGTGTGCATCAGGATTTAAGCATGCTCGCTGTGCTCTTCTCACAACACAAGGCCAAATAGGAAAGAGGAATAGGAAAGTCATAAATGATCACCCTGTTTCTCTACAATGGGCAATGGGCCAGGGTTATGACTAGAAGTGGAATACGAAGATACTACATTTCTCAGGTAGCAGGGAAGGTTGTAATCGGAACAAAAGGGCACAATTTTGCAGGCATTTCCGAAAGCAGAACAGGTGAGCAGCTAAAATGAGTTATTCAGTTGCTACTGAACTACATGTACATGTATGTGGTCAATGCAGCAACAGTACTAGTGGTTAGGAACCCATTTCATCCAGCATTGATTGAAGGATTCCTTCAGCCTCCACAGCCTTTTCTTTGAGCTGATTCAAGTTGTTCGCAAGCGGCTCTGGTTCGCGGAAAGGCCGTACGTCGCCACCCGTTCCATCGCCGTTATCACCTGTTCCATCACCATTATCACCCGTTCCATCACCATTAGCGCCCGTTCCATCACCATTACCACCCGTTCCATCACCATTATCACCCGTTCCATCACCATTATCACCCGTTCCATCACCATTATTACCCGTTCCATCACCATTATCACCCGTTCCGTCGCCATTGTCACCCGTACCATCACCATTATCTCCCGTTCCGTCACCGTCATTGCCCGTTCCGTCGCCATTGTCACCTGTTTCATCATCCATGTCATTGCCAGTCTCATCGTCCGGATTTTCATCCTCATCACCGGTCTCATCCTCTATATCACGCGCTGTGGCAACTTCGGGTCGTGAAGCGTGCGGGAGAATTACATCCGCTCCAACCTGCACTCTGCCAGCCATACGTTTGGCCATCCCGACACTGTCACCATCTTCTGGATCCGGTCCTAATGTGTCAAGGCGACAGATAAGCAGAAAGTCTTCACCAATGGATTCGGTTGCCAATGTGTCAACGCGATCAGCAGATGCTTCCAAGTCAGCTCCGATCCGGTTTAGAGCAAACTTATCCTCGTTGAGGAACACAGAGGCCCTTCTGCATATTCCTCGCCTATCAAACGTTACACTGGTCGAGTCTTCAGATGTTTCTATTTTCCTTACGCAGCACTGATTGGGGAAACATCCGAAGGCTGTGAGACATCGCCGAAACACGAACTTCTGCGTAGAGACAGAACGGGAAACACACGGACGAAATCGCATAATTACTGACCATCAAAAGGCATGACTGTATTTCGACTCAGTACAATGTTCTCATCACGATTCACAGAGATTCATGTATTACTCTAGTTGTTAGCCTGAACTCTCAAGCTGACGAATTTCGTAGACTTCCAAAAGAGAAGATGCGCTACTCTCCAACTCATTGGATCTTCCAATAACCAAGCATGCATAACGATGCACATGTTGTCGTCGGAGAATAAAGGCGTAAGTAAATACCACCCCTGACAATTTACATATATACGTTGAATTTGACATTTCCCCAATCTTTGAAAACTGGATCACTTTCTTTCACCTCTGCCTCTGGTAGTACTTTACAGAAGCTGATCGTCGTTAGTCCCTCAGGGGAGGGGAAAAGACCCAATTTCCATCGGTATGTGTGGTGCGTGTTATGAGCCGTCTTTGGAGTGAAAATGTTGTGAGCGCCTTCTAGATTCGACCTGGTCCCTGGACCCATAGCCTAGATGTTTCGAGCATTGTGCATGACGAGTTCGGACACAGGGTGGGTCAAGGACCATCTTTCTGCTTCCGTGGGGCGACACCAAACCATGGTCAGTGATGACCAGGCATCAGGTGCGTCTCCTAAACGGTGAAGGAGGAGTGGTCAGCTCCAACAACCAGAGGCCGAAGACCGAAAACCCACTTGCGGCGGCCTCCATGACTGTGTGGGAGGAGGAGGAGGAGGAGGAGGAGGAGGGTATGTGCATGTACAGTCTACTTCGCGTATAACGACACTCGGCGGGGCATCAGAAAAGTGTCCTTATTCGCAAAGTGTCGTTATACCCGAAGTCCCATTATAATTACAGTTGGATGGGACTTTGCTCTGGGCATGGAAATTCTGTCGTTATTCGCGAATTGTCGTTATATCCACAGTCGTTACTAGCGAAGTTGACTGTATCTCACAATTGCTCTTGACACCCCACGGCCGTGAATCATTGGTATCTAAAACTGGTAATGAACATACTGTTATTGCTGTTTCTGAAGGACCAATACACGTATACTGTTACTGTTACTGTGATTGTATATGCTGGATAGAAAATTGACCTGGGTTACTAGGCTGCAATACACTAACCTTACGTCCCTTTTGTCCGCACTCCACAACGTCCAGGGTGAGCGCCAGGCCAAGGATCAAGCACGCAAACGCTGCAAAGCGCATCTTGTCGTCTCGATTGTCACCGTGGTCAGGAAGAGGTACGGAAAGAGTTTTTCTGGGTACTGATGGGGAACACTGGGAGCATAGGACTGACGCAGAACGAAGGGATTTCGGGCCTTTTAGACCTAGCTTGCTGCCCGACTTCTTCCTGTTAGGCTCTGCATCGTAGGTTCCACTCACAGCTTCGTGAAAAACATGCTGGGTCCTGATATGGAGCGTGTCCATGTTCAGGTAAATGATGTATGCTTATCACGAACGACTCATATCCCGAACACTGGAAGTGGTACAATAGCGTGCTGGTGCTTGAGAAAACTGAGACGAAAAGTGCTGTTCTTGAGATAAGTGAAAGGATAATAATTATATTATACGTTTGACACCATCAGTATGCTTGATGGTTACACAAGCGATAATTGCGAGGATGCTCGTCACAGCATTACTGTGAGGCTGCTCACACACTTGAATTTCGTCGACAGAAGGCTCTTATACCTTGATCACGACGCCCTTGAATACAATATGCAGTGACTGTATAATTGATTCTAGCTGCTATGCAGACATTTTGGCTTAAGGTACTAGTACTCCTTTGTAGGGTCAAAAATCGAAGTTTAGAAATCGGCTTTTTTGACTCTTTCAGTGGACGCACAAGGCCCTGAACCTGTGGAATCCAAAATTTGAGGCGAATCGGCACAGTCTTTGCAGAGTTACAGGCCAGTGAAGTGCGTGGGTATGTACGATGTACGCACTGCAGCGTGACCATGCCAGCTGTCAGAAGAGCAAAAATGAGTACTCATGCCACGTGGCAAAAATTCAAATATTCGTTACCATGACTGCACAAAATGGCGACCCAGCGTAAAAACTGGGTTCCCTTGCGCTTTTTGCATCACAAACAGCAACTATTCTGCACTCGCTGATCGAGCTTGAAGATGGGAAACAAAAAAATGGAAAGGTAGATTCTACGTTGCCAAAAAGAAGAAATATTATGGAAAGAAGCCTGAAACAGCTCCCGATCCTAACCCTGTTCCTGTGGAAGCGGAGCCAGAAGATATTGGACGTAGCTCTTCATTTGCAAAGCTCGTCGGCTGCAAACCCTGGTGGGAGCAGGAGACATCAGACAGCGATGGCGATGTTGGAACGGAGTCTGATACCTCACTGACCTCGAACCCAGACACGAGTGACAGCAGTGATGACAGTGATTGTTTCGAGGCTGATGAGCCCCATACTGGTGCGGGAAACGTATTTTCGACTTGGAGCAGCTGCAGGAGATTCTGCTGAAATGTGTGTGCAGTTTGTAAAGTTGGCGGTATCATTTTGGAAAAGGAGAGACAGCAAGGCTTAGGATCACACATGGTCATATCCTGTTCATCAGAATCATGTCCTGGTGCTAATGTCAAGTTTTCATCGTCCATAAGAACAAGATTTTTTGACGTCAACCGATGCTCCGTTTTAGCTGCCAGGCCCATTGGCCGAGGACACTCTGGTCTCCAGAAATTCTGTGCCATTATGGACCTCCCCAAGCCTGTCAACAAGACGAACTTCCAGAAACACCAACAAGCTGCAATTGAGGCTGCACACACGGTTGGCGAGAAAAGCCGCAACTACGCTGCCCAGCAGCTGTTAGCAGAAAATCCCGAAGCCAGAGGCCATCTACAAGTTGCTGGTGCCTGTTTACCGAAGACTGGCAGACCAGGCACTTCTGAAACGGTGCTTGCTTGGTGCCACACAAAATGCCAAAGAAGCATTCAATGGTGTCGTGTGGCGCATGTGCCCGAAGGAAGTCAATGCAGGTCGCTGTGTGGTGGAGCTCGCTGCAAATCTTGCTACATGCACTTTCAATGATGGTGCTATGAGCCTTTGTCAAGTTCTTAAGAGAAATGTCGTGTTCTGTTGGCCATAACACCATCAAGGCACTGAAGAAGGAGGATACGGACCGCATTGCACATGCCGAAGTGGCCAGTTCAGCATTGCAAAAAAGCACAAGAAAGAAGAGGAGAAGAAAGAAAAAGGGCTGGGAAGAGCAAAGAACAGAGCAAGAAGGTGTCACATATGAGGCTGGTGGATTTTAGCTTGGTTTGGTGAGGTTTTGTTGCTGACATTACAGCTTATGCCTGCATTTTTGTCTGTTTTGGACCCCTTTTTTTCACTGTTTTTAGCCTACTGCGAGTGTGTTTTCTGAAGTTTTCTCTTGGATAAAGTGTCTGGACACCCCCCAAAGTATACATTTTTGGAAAGGTGATGCCCAGGCCTAGGGCACCTGGGTGTTTTCAAGAGCAACACTTTAACTAGAACAATCTTTGCCCTCTCTCAAATGTTGCAACACGGTCGCGTATTATATACGTTGTTTTATAAGGTGTATTGTGCGTCCTTTGTTCCTTTGGATGGACTTCTGCTGACCCAGGTGCCCTTCCCCAGACCTAGATGGTTTGGATCCAACAAATTTGGACCCATCAAATAGTCTTTTCCTGGACATTTTTTTAAGAAAATGTGTAGCCCGTCATATCGACAGAAAGTGTACATTCTGATTTACATTTTCCAAGGATCTCGCAAAGCATGACAATATATTTTCTGCTGTTGCAATCACTACCCTTTCATCTGTGTGTGGAGAAAATTTGGAGTGATTTGCTTGTGTGGGACCAAAGTAATGCCTCTTCTTGTGCGGTCGGCCCAGATACAGCCGCGAAAAGAGTACTAGTACCTTAACCTCTTCCGCGGAATCAGCATCTCCGAAAATTTGTATAATTATGTGCACATGCACATACATGTACACACGAATGATATGAAAATATGCAAAGAATGTTAACATTATAATGAACACTAAGGTTCGTACATGTATTCACTAATATTCCTTGTTTTCCTCACTGCTCTACTCACTTCATTGAACATCAAATGCCCTAGTCCAGTGCACATCAAATGCAATAGTCCTTCCCAGTTGTCCTATTAACTGGTTTGAGGGAAAGAGACAAACGGGAAGGGTCTGAAGAAAAAATTTACTGTCAGTGTCACCACCAGGACTCGAACCAGGGACCCTCGCTTGTAGCCAGCGATGCTCTAACCACTGAGCTATGGTGTAGTCGTCATCCCAGCAGAGAACGTTCAACATTTTCTTCAGACTTCAGTTGTCCTGTTCTTCGTGTTTTTTCTCCTTCTCTGCTCACATATTCTCTGTCTATAAACTGTACAGAAATGGAGACCCCCTCGATAGGCTTAAATGGCCTCTGGGAAATCCTTGAAATAGATTATACAATTGTAAATGTACAGGACAAACACCTATGCTTCTATTACTTTACATGTAAATGTACGTGTAAATGTACGTGTAAATGTACGTAAATGAACATGCAGTCGTAAGATCTGTGGAGTGCAAATTACAGGAGTAGTGTGCCTTTGTAGTACATCCAGCAGCAGAATGTGCTCAGTGTAACGTATTTTCGTCAGGACATCTAATTGTATAGTACAAGTATGAATTCGTCAATGCTAGGCAAGTATTACGAATGCCGTGTGCCTATGGGCTCAATATCTTTAGACCTAAATACCCTTGAGAAGGCTTCCCAGGTCGTATCTTGTGCCATCTAAACGGCTGGGAATCAGTTTTCCGCCTCGACAACGCGAGTAGAGTGACTGTCTGCGAAGGAGTCCTCAGATCAATTAGAGTGCGCCCCATGTCAAGGGTTGGGACCAGCAACAGTGCATCTGGCTATGATCGACGCTGTGCAGTAACTTGCCCAGAACATCACTGGACATGTTGTGATGCTTATGAAATGCTCTGTTTTGGTCTGTGACTAAAGTCTAACCCTGCAATGTATAGGGCATAGAAACCTGTCTAAGACGACCGCTCAGGGGAGCTTCAAATTGTTGTCTCTGTTACCAGGTGGTCTTCTTGCTCGGGATAATTTGGAAAACAGGAAAAACATTATCCCTTGGTTCTGATTGCAGTGGTCTTCTGGGACATGTGGTCGCCTTTACAGGTTTCACTGTTGTTGTTGTTGTTGTTGTTGTTGTTGTTGTTGTTGTTGTTGTTGTTGTTGTTGTTGTTGTTGTTGTTGTTGTTGTTGTTGTTGTTGTTGTTGTTGTTGTTGTTGTTGTTGTTGTTGTTGTTGTTGTTGTTGTTGTTGTTGTTGTTGTTGTTGTTGTTGTTGTTGTTGTTGTTGTTGTTGTTGTTGTTGTTGTTGTTGTTGTTGTTGTTGTTGTTGTTGTTGTTGTTGTTGTTGTTGTTGTTGTTGTTGTTGTTGTTGTTGTTGTTGTTGTTGTTGTTGTTGTTGTTGTTGTTGTTGTTGTTGTTGTTGTTGTTGTTGTTGTTGTTGTTGTTGTTGTTGTTGTTGTTGTTGTTGTTGTTGTTGTTGTTGTTGTTGTTGTTGTTGTTGTTGTTGTTGTTGTTGTTGTTGTTGTTGTTGTTGTTGTTGTTGTTGTTGTTGTTGTTGTTGTTGTTGTTGTTGTTGTTGTTGTTGTTGTTGTTGTTGTTGTTGTTGTTGTTGTTGTTGTTGTTGTTGTTGTTGTTGTTGTTGTTGTTGTTGTTGTTGTTGTTGTTGTTGTTGTTGGTGTTGGTGTTGGTGTTGGTGGTGTTGGTGTTGGTGTTGGTGGTGTTGGTGTTGGTGTTGGTGTTGTTGGTGTTGGTGTTGGTGTTGGTGTTGGTGTTGGTGTTGGTGTTGGTGTTGGTGTTGGTGTTGTTGTTTATTTTACTTCGCAAATTCTAACGGGCAAGTTGCCCCAATAACAAGAAAGCGAAGGCAAAGAAAATAATACTAATAAAAGAAATAACCGGGGGCAGCAGAAAATGAATAATAGCTTTAAGAACTCAGATGGTGAGCCAAGGAACAAATTTCCACTGTAATACTAGATGCAATGTATTCAGTCATATACATGTATATGTACATGTACATGTATATGTACGTGTACATGTATATGTAAATGTACATATACATATGAATTGTATATTCCGTTGTTACTCACTCAGACCTCTCACCAATATCGTGATGCTCTGCATCTGCCGCTGGTTATTCCGGATGCTAGCGGGCGCTTATACCCGGAATACCTGTATGTTTTCCTGTATATTCAGATGCAGGTGCAGACGCATCTGCATTTCCACAGAATTGATTTATCTCGTTTTGAATTGGAGCCCTTCAGATGCAGATGCAGTGCCTAGCGGTTTTGTTGCGTGGGTCTGAGTGTGTAGCAAAGGAATGTACAATAGCTACTCACTCATATGGGTGAGTAGCAAATGAAAAGAGCGGCAATTATTTCACAAACCTACTTTTCCCGACACAACTATTACTCTGTTAAGAAAAAGCACTGAGTCTTAGTTTAGTAAATAGCGAGTTGTACTCCCAGTGCCGAGAGGCGGGCTCTCACCCCTGTATGGCAACGTTCCCTTGTCTCACAAGACGAAGTATACAGTCCAAACTTATTTGGCCGAAAATTTAATAATAAATGGAAGCACATCGTGTGTTGGGCTAGGATAGAGAAATTCCATTACTCTGTTGAATCAAGCCGAGCGAGCTGTACTTCCTGTTCCCGGGAGGAGGAGGAGGAGGATTCACATCCCTGTGTGGCCACATCTTCATGCCTCACTTTTAAAGACATGCCTCATGCCTCACCTAAGAGGATAATACGTACGTTATGAAACTGGGATGCAGTGAATATGTCACAAAGAACACGTCATTAGTTGTGTAGTTGGATCATAACAGATGCAGATGCAGATATAGTTGCAGATGTAGTTATGGTTATGTTTGGTAAATTTGATGGTATACAATGTACATGAACGTGTGTTGCAACTCAGCGATATACAGTACGTAAATTTTGACCCGAGAGAGATTTTGTCGCGAGTAGTTCGACCTTGAGTTGGTAAAGGACGCTGCAAGTTGCATTGATATTTTTGCTAATGGCTAACGACTTTAGTGGCGGCTCACGTTTCAGTGTCAGAGAAATACATTGGAAAGAAGGTTCGAATATACAAAGGGATTTTTGCGCAAAATATACATGTTTCTGTGGTACATGACGGTCACTTTAGTGGCTGTAACTATTCTATCTGTATAATGGATTTTCTTCCTTTCGCTTGTTTTGGACATTTCGGCCCTTACCTTGTTGGCAGGTATTGAAATCATTGCAAAACTATAAAACATATAAGTCTGTTCCTGTTTCTATCTTTTCCCTCGAACCAATAAAGTCTTGTCTCCGTTTAGAAGGAACTCCCAACGCGCCCGCTAACACCAGCAATAAATCATTGCACACTGCACAACTGCACCTGCATGTAATGCCCAATTGTCCAAAATGCAGTGCTTCCAACACCATTCTTTTAGACTCAAAAGACCGATCATTGTTGAACTGGCGTCCAGTCCCTCAACCTGCGATACTGCTGGTTAGGATATCTTAACCACCCTCAGCATGTAATTTTCTTGTTCGTGCTTCATTCTAACATCGTTGTACTAGTAAAGTTGCCGTGGTATTGTGCTCACATTCTGAAGGGCGTAAAACAAGATTGCGTCAATCGAACCTACTGCATCATGAGGCATGTCATGGCAGGATCCAAACCATGCTGGTTTTTCGGAGGTTGATGCACATTTCCTGAACTACAGCCTGAACTGTACGTGTCATCCCAGCCTGAGTGCTCTCGCCAAATTGATGTACGATGTATACAGCGTCGATGTACAGTGTTGGCCAAAGAAATGCAACCTCATGAATACAGTAACTACGCTGGGCGCTACGCAGCCCTAGTCACGTGACTGCACACACTGGTCGTCTGTGTACTCTAAGTAAGTCTAACGCTAATCACCAGTTATTTCCTGTGGCAGAATTGCTGAGCTCAGTTGCATCAATAAAGGAGAACAGATCGTGCGGGTAAATAGATTGAAGGCAGCAGAGATGAAATGGAAGCCGATTACAAGGGATGCTTGCACTGGCTTTTCCAGCACAGAATCAGATTCCTTTGCGGAATAGCTAAAATACTAAAGCAACAGTGGAAAATCATAATATGAGTGGTATGAACTAAGCGAGTGTAGCTTGATTGGAAAAGGGATGCGAAGAAACAGAGGTTTTAGTACACTCCTAATCCTCGTCAATGTCTCCGATTCCGTCCAGGAGGTTTTGAAGTATTTCCTCAGCCTCCTGTGCTCTTTCCCTGAACATCCCCATCTTCTCGGCATATTGCGAGGGAGAGCGTAAATCCATGGGTTGGGCAGGGGGGCCTCCATCGCCAGTGTCTCCTCCTGGGCCGTCCCCCATGTCTCCACCGGGCCCACCACCAGTGTCTCCTCCGGGGACATCGCCCATATCACCATCAGGCCCACCACCAGAATCTCCTCCAGGGCCTCCGCCCATGTCCCCACCAGGTCCATCGCCGTTATCTCCTCCAGGGGGATCACTTCCAGTATCACCTCCCATATCATCCGGCATGTCGTCATCCGGTACGCTGTCCATGTCGTCATCCACAGCAACATCATCTTCAACATCCCGCACGGTGGCCACATCGGGGCCCTCCGTTGCGGGAACTACACTAACAGCGTCGACCTGCGGAGCTCTGTTGCTCGCATGTCTCTTGGAAACCTGTATATCCTCCTCTGATAGTGGACCGAGACTTCCAGGGCGACAAATGAGCAGCAGGTCTTCGCCAATGGACTGGGCCGACAATTCTGCAACACGGTCCTCAGCAGCATTCAGATTATCGTCAATGCGGTTGATACTGAACTTCTCTTCATTCAGAAATTTGGCAGCAGGAGCACATCTTCCACGCTTGTCGAATGTCACGCTGGTCTCATCTTCAGCTGTGTCGATTTGCCTGACGCAGCACTGATTCCTGAAGCATCCGAATGCTGTAATACAAGATCGAGGACGTGGAGGTATGAGCTTCTGCAGAAAGAATCGAAATGACAAGAACATACAGAACGATTTTCAAAATGATAAGAAATGGACATGTACATGTATTTGTACATGCTGCATTTGAAAATACTTAGACCAAAGACCTTTCAAACGTGACGTTCACCGTCGTTGCTGCTTTGTTGCCCAGCTATACGAAGACATCTTCTACTCGCCCCTTTAATGCTACAGAGTAGTATGTATGTACATAGCCACCAAAAGTACATACATGTAGCTCACTAGGTTGGTTGGTGTTGGCTAACAATGCTCGCCTTAGCGTGAAGCTCTGAGCCTCGAGCAAGTAACTAATTTACATGTACTTCGCTCTTTCCATTCCCAGTGTGGAAATGGCTCTGCACTTGGTGTAGATCGTACACTATTGCAGCAACAGAGCCCACCGTTCTGCACCTCGCTAGTACTGAACTCTTGTTAGTCTCCTGTATACCAGTGTACATGTACAATACTGTGCATGGGGGTGTCTGACTTCAGTTGGGAAGGCACATGGCACAGTGTAGGTATTTTACTACTCACTGATCGGAATTGGCTATAGGCCATGTTCACCCTACCTATCCATAGCTGTCTTGCATCATACGGGCATATCAAAAATGCTAAAGTGATGAAAATTAGGCCATAGTCAATTCTGACTGTTGGGACAGGCGGTGATAGTACCCCAGACATCTTGAGCTCGAAATATTGAAGGCTCTCTCCCTCGCCGCCCTTGTCACCCGCCAAAGAGGTGGCTGACAACCGGACAGGATCATAATATTTATAATGGAGGACTGAGGTCCAAGCAGGTCTCTCACCTTCAACAAGATCTTTAGCAGGAATTTGTGACGAAGTCGAGATTTGCCTTTGGATCGCGATCTATGACTCTCGGTTACAGTGCCCAACACAAGTAGGCATAGGAGAATACTGGTGAGCACGGTGACACGCATCATAACCGCATCGATCCACAGGCGATCAACAGAATCTGATTTGATCCGGATTGTAGTCAATTCAGATTCCAATCCAGAGCTTCGGAAAGGCTTCAAATTTGTACTTCTACACTTTCCTTCCTTGAGGACAACTGACAGCGTTTGGAGCTTTATCAACTCTTTTGTTGCGTTTTCTGGTGCTGCGTGTCTCGTGCCCGCCGAACTCTGCTATCGCCCGAAATTCACCTGCAGCGGCGCAAACTTAGCCTTGAAAAGCAGCACTTATTATAACCTAAGTCATCTCTTCAAGAAACCGAGATAACTCACAGCGGTGCTGAGAACGGGTGCGATACGGAAAGTGCAGACTCTTATTTTGGGTTGGTGATTGGTCACGCAAATATCGTATTGTGTTGACATATTCATATGGGGAATGTACAAGCTTCCAAGCACCAGAACTCCAGGTACAATGTCGATACATGTCCCTACGTCATACATGTATATGTTCTCGTTGTTTCGGAAGATTACAGTAGGGAATGCCTACTTCAACATAATGAAGTTGAAGTAGGCATTTCCTATTCATGTTATCAATCGTCTGTGGTGTGATGACTGTGTATTAACCGGGCACGTGAGGATATGGATCGAAGGGTATGTGTGCGAGGGGCCCTTGGGGGGGGGGGGGGGGGGTGATAAAGATCTGCAATGTTTTACATGTACCTCTTCTTCTTCTTCCTCTTCCAGGAGGATTAGGAAAGATAACTGATGCGTCATCAACAGCCGACAATAAAAAAAGCTTATCAACCCGTGTCAATCCAAGATGAAAGATAACGCCGGACACATTGGGTGAGTAACTCTGACTGTACCGATCACAAATTTCTTCGTCAAGCTTTCTCCACTAAGCCCCTAAATGGAGCTATGAACATTGCCGTTCTGGACAGCGAAAACTAACTCTTACACTCGTACTTCCCTAGCATTATTACTTCACGGCATGCAGTATAAGGAACATGGTAGCCCCAGCATCCAATGCTGTTCTTCATGTGTGATGGTCAGCAAGGATCACTGGAATGCTCACAGCTGGCTCCTAGATAGAACGTTTGGAAACTCTAACCGAGTTTGAGGTCCTGTTGTGACACCTAACAAGGTAGAAAACTGACTTATTTGGATTGACAAGATGCCATTTCCTCCCAACGAAACAGTCCACGAGGAGATGAATTTGACTCTTATCAGACTATGAGTGGCGTCATGGAAATTTCATTGACGCATGTGTCTGCATGGTGGAAGGCAGGGCTGTGTGAGAAGATCTAAGACCATGACTAAAACACAGAGAGTACAAGAGACGGTGTGAAGTCCTGCTTGGACGTTCAGGGATTTCCGATCGTGGAGCGGCCCGTGGATTGGGAACTCGAGACGGTCCTGGAATGAGGGTGGCATGTATGGACAGTGCGGTGATTGTTTTCTTGGTCTTTTACTACTTTGTGATCTGATCGGCTCTCCTACCACTGATTTAGGAGCTGACGCTGTACTGTTATCCTTCAGGGTGGCAGCGTTACCATGCATGCGGAAAGGCCAGTCTTGCCAAATCCCACTCGACCTGCCATTAATTACATACATGTACATGTACATGTCTTGTGTCAATAAAGTGTTAACGGTAGTATTCGGCTGCTCAATGCTGCAACAATATCTCCTCTTTTCGCCTCCATACGCTCTCAGCCGAATTGGCTACCCTCGGCAGCCATTCGACACACCAATAATTTCAAACAACGAAGGGGTTACGGGTACTTCAAGTACTGTTACTGATAATATTCCTTCTGATACCGGTAGCTGTTTCGCCTACTGAAGGCTCCTCAGAGAAGGTGATACTGAACAGGATATTGTAATTGGCATGGCAAATATGTATACAGTATAATTATTATTATTATGGGCGCAAGAAATGATGTCTTGTAGTGCACTGTAAAACAGAGAGGTTTGTTTGTTTGTTTGTTTGTTTGTTTGTTTTATTTGAATTCGTTTAGAGCACAGGCAATTCTGCCTTCTCACCAGAGGAAAAACCTCCGGTTCCTGCTAAGAACGAATAAAATATTATGAGAGAAGGAAATATTAAAAAGAATCATAACATGATATTTCCAAAGCACAAAGTTTGTATATTATTCAAATGGGTGTGTGTATGTGTAAGCATGCAGTGAAGAACACACAGGGAAAACATGCAGTAATGTGTAGGGATGCCGAGCAAGAAAGGAGCGCGATTAACACTGGTTACAAATTACAATTAATTTTGTTCAGAGGCAAAAGCCGCACTGTGGAGGCGAATATCACTGGGAAGGGCATTCCAAAGAGTGCTTCCCACAAATGTCAATGACTGAAGACCGGAAGGTCCAGGAAGGAAAGGCACTTGCAGTAGCCGCTGTTCCTGTCCTCGAGTAATTCGGCGATCATCCCGGAATGCTTGGCTTGTATTAGCCGCCAACTGAAAGTAGGTGCAGAAAAGAGGACTTGCAAGATCATGTAGGCAACGGAAAACAAAAAACAAAACCTTGTAGTGAAAAATGTGAGTTAGGGATCGAATTGATAAGCTCACGAGGAGGGGGGCTGTGGATGCACGGCTGGAGAGTCGGAAAATTGCACGAATTCCGAATTTACTGGATTTGATTAAGCGACTCTGCAGCTGCTGTGTCAACGACGGGAAGAATGCATTGGATGCGTACGTTAGTCGTGCTTGCACAATGCCAATGTACCAAAGTCTGCGGGCTCTTATGGGCAGAGATCGGCCATGGCGCCAAAGTTGGCTGATGGCGACTGACGCCTTCTGCACAACACGGGAGACATGTGGCTGCCAGGATAACTGGTCCCAGGCTGTCCTGCAGAGTGCTCAATACCGAAAGGCAGAGCTACTTGTAGTTCAAACAATAATAAGAGAATGAAAAAAGTGTTTTAACTCCCCGAGTTTCAGAATCAGAAACACAGTTATCAGTAACTCTGGATACTGATGTATGTGTATATACCCACAGAGCAAAAGTGCAAAGGACAGCAATATCACCACGGTATGACTTTGACAGGTGTGAATGACAGCAGTGGTGAAAAATACTACTTCAAGTGACACGCACAGGAGCTGGTTGTCTGCTACATGATTAGCTGATGCCTGAGGATGGCTTGAAGTTCCAAAGGTAGTACTAACTCTCGTGGTTACACTTTGACACAAGTTCACTCCTCTTGTACTCTTGTAGAGAGGTGCTTGGGTTTTTGCGTGACTGCCAAATTTTCCGCCAGGCATAAGTTGCACCTTTTGCTTTTGTTGCTGTAAGCTACTGCTTTGCGGTGGACTGCCCATTGAATGCTGCACTGGCCGTTGGGCAGTTAAATTCCTTTTGAATCTCCCTCCCCTCTTCCTCTTCTGGGGAGACCTTCGTGACCAGTTTTGGCGTTGAGCAAGTACCATTGTGTGTGTGTGCCATTTTTCTGCACCTTGTTCTCACCCACTATCTGCGGTCTGGTGAACCCTACGTTCTTGTAGTGCACCGTGTTTCCAAATCAGAATACATCAAGCACTGTTCTGTCCTTTGTACATGTATGTACCCAGGTGCTGAGTGTTGTCTCAGTACTAACGTAGTCAACACTAGTCCGTGGCGGATAATACTAGAATCATAGGCAGATTCTGCTCCTAAAGCAGTGAAATTTATGTGGCAGAACCACACCAACGTTATGGCAGGCACTTCCTTGAATTCTGCTCCATTTCACCATCCACATAACAAACGAGAATGGATCATCCATAACAAGTACAACATCCTGCCATATTTCTGCCGAAATCATCTGCCAAGGCCTGCTCTACACTGCATGAGAGCGCCAAGAAAAGTCCTGATACATGTATGTGCCTTTTATCGATGACCTTCATCTATAATGTACATGTATATGTACATGTACATGTACATGTACATGTACATGAGCAAATAAGTTGTTGGTTAAATGGGCAATCTTCTGATTAGCACACGAAGCACAGGCCGACAAAGTGCCGGTTAAAAGGACTTGCTTGCTACCGTGTTTATCACCATTGTATTCGACTTGAAAAGTGATGGTACGAAAGGCCTAGTCGAAACGATAATTTTGGCTTCTGTGCTTCGTGTGCTGATTTGCTTCCTCCAACCAAAAATCTATTCAATCTCCTGGTTCCGACTATGGGTGACTGGCCCGAAACGTCATAATTGTATGACATATCAAATAAAGAATTTTTCATCCCGCGCATGCGCCGAGCGTGAATAGCAACTGTTTAGAGCGGTTGGCAACCCCCCTTTTTTATAATGCAGTTGCGTGATGTCCACCACTTTCTTAATAAAATCCTCTGGAGTTCAGTTAAATATTTCATAGTAGTGGTGCTACTCTCCACTTGTCTGTGAGAAATGAGTAACGAAGCACATCACAACAATGAGGCCGCAGGCCATTTTGAATCACAGTTTTCCATCGTAGATATCATGACTAGATCGTGGGTATCATGACTAGATTCGTAAATTCACGTACGTGTACATGTATCTTGGTGTGCCTGTTTTCAAACCATTTGGTGGCGGAAAGTCTTCTCAGTACTTGATTAGCCATTAATTTTTGCAATTGTTAACTTCGAGTGCAAGTAATTGGATTAATTGTGTCAACCCTGTAATTTATATCCGTCTACATTATTCTGTTAGGGTATACAACTTAGGTGCATCTGTATGCTACAAAACAGTGAGACTCGCGTTTCATTTTAACAGTGACCAATAACCTTTGTACGGAGGGCAGGAGCCAAATACCGAACACCTGGATGTGCCCGTGGAATGTTTTTCTCCTTACCCAAGCGGCCATGCCCAGCGCACTCGATGGACTACTCTATGGCGGCTTTGGAATTTTTCTCATTAAACTGCTAGTGCGTGCACACATTTACTACATGGACATGTATAGCCTATAGGCATCCCTGAGTGTTCAAACAAACTTTATTATGTGCAAAGAATGGCTGTCCCATACTAGTCATTTCAACCAATTTGTTGGAAGTCGCCGAAATTATATACAATGTATTAGAGGAAAGACCTCGCTAAATTTCGTAGTTTGAGCACTCTGGCGCTAGTTCAGCAACGAGTTGTCTAAAATGTCTGTGGTGCCACCTTTGCACCATGGCTGGCAACTCGGCTTACTTAAAGCTCGTAGCTGTACTGATGAGGCCTTTATGGCCGAAACAGCTTGCTGTCTAGAGCATTGGGTTAGAGGAAAGACTAAAATGTTACGAGTTATGACAATCAGTACACGAACGTAACGAGATAACAATAGTCAGATATTTCCACAACAAGGCCCTACACATTTCATAACTCATAATACTTTAGTCTTTCCTCAAATACTTGTACATGACTTCTATTGGCTCACCATCGTTCGCCGAATTTACTTTTTCCACCGTCCCTAAGTGAACAATTCAGAATGTTCAAAAGCCTGTGGCATGAAAGACACTCACGACCTCTCTGCAATGTATCATACCTCAAGGGTACATCAATCAAGAATGAATAGTAAGAATCTCCAAATTCCGTGCAGGTTGTCAGGTGTAGATTCAGTTGAAATTGTCGAGTGTAACTATAGTCATGTAGACAGGTTGTGGGGGCTGAGGAAAGGTAAAGATTGGTAGGTACGATTTGCTGCACAGATAATGACTAATAGTAGCAAGACATAAGCAGTGAACATGATTTGGAAATGATATCGATTTCATCATTGACTAGTACTATAGTCTATAGCCTTCTCTAGCATGCAGTTGATTGTGGAGGCAGATCGTGCAAAGGCTGTCAAGTGCTCCGTGCGTCTATTTCTGGATGGTGTCCAGCTCGTTTACCAGGTTTGACAACAGGTCCTCAGCGGCCTGCGCCTGCTTCTTGAACTGCGACATGGCGGGCGCTCGCTTTTCGTTCTCTGTGGCCTCGGCCTGCTGAACCTTGGCCAGCTGAGCCTTGGCCTGCTCTGGTTCACGTCGCGATTCCGGAGCAGCTGGGTCTTCTTCTATCTCCCCGCTGCCACTGTCCACTACTTCCGCTGCAGTGGCCACGTCGGGACCTTGGAGAATGCGTACGAGCCTGTCAGCCTCGATCTGCACGCCCCTCTTCTTCCTCATGCTCATATCCTCCTGCTGTGGTCCAAGCGTTCCGGGACGGCAGATGATCAGAAGATCCTGACCTACAGATTGTGTGGCGAGCTCGGCGGCGCGGTCTGTGGCCGCGGCGATTTCATCATCGATTCTGTTCAGCATGAATTCTTCCTCATTGAGCAGGTCGGAAGCTTTGACACACATTCCGAATCGGTCAAAAGTCACGCCATCGCCAGCATCATTGGGTTCAATTTCCCTCACACAGCATCTATTGCGTGAGCATCCATTCTGCGTGATGCACCTCCTCTGACCAAAGGCAAATCCCTGAACAAAACAAAACAAAAACAAACAAAAAAGATTACAGTAAAGTGTCAATCACACAACCTAACCAGTTACTGTGTTTTCAAAACTGAGAAAGGTCATCACGAATGATGTGCATTGTTGTTAGGATCAGGATTAGACTCGCACTGTATATGAATGTGCCATGCAGTTGCGAATGAAGTGTATCCGATAGTTGAAAAATACTTCGAAGTAGTATTTTCCGGAATTTCATTTTTAAAATTCATGGCATTCTGGGTTGAAGGTCGCATCCCACCACCCCCCCCCCCCCCCCCTCTCCCCCTACATATTTCAAGTGCATTATTCCTCTAATAATCACAGTTACCTGACCTCCATTCGTCACCCTAATTTGAGGATCTCTCATTGCGCGAAACCATAGGAGTATGTCGCACAAAAACTAAACTCTGAGACAGTGTTGCAAATGTCCTCCAATACTATCTTCACGGTATTGCAAGTGTTCTTTTTCTTACTCTCCTTACTCAGCGTACAACACTCTCTAAAAGTTCCGCAATCGGCGCAGCATTGCAGCATTGTGTGTTATTATTCATGACTATTGTTGCTGTCCCCTTGATACTATGTATTGAAACTGGCCACAATCACTACAATGGTCAAAGGCGCCTATAGAACTATTCCAGAACGCCTCATGCCATGGTGCTCGTACTTCTATAGGGGATGTGTGCCTCAGGTTTCTAAAACTCCGCGCGAATTTCATCGCCCTTCTACAGCAACTTGCTGGGAATACTCGTGCGCACTTTGAACACTCTATCCAAATTCTCACCATTACTCTATTTCAGCCCATCTCGTAATGTACAACTCAGCACTACAAGTAGTAGATACAACACTAATACTATCATCGTTCCTTGTAGCTACATGTATAAACACCGGGACTGTCAGAAAATCGATAAAAACTCCAACCCCACCAGGATTGAAAATTGAGATCGTGCTTGGCATGAGTAATTCTTTAAACATCTGAAGCCTGGGACCAGGCCGAACCTACATGTAGAAGGTGTCGATAAAATGTTCTCCACGGGCAGCTCACACAACACGTGCCATACAATGTACATGAGTACATACTGATGGCACTATCATCATTATCATTACCACCCACAGCCATGTACTACGGTTTCCACCTTGAATACGTGCTTGTTATCATACAGCAACATCGTGGCTTGACACGCGTACATCTGGAAACTTTTAAACTTTAAAAGTGTCAATTCATCTTATCAGGTCAATCAGCACTCTGTTACTTAGAATTCTGCTTACCCTTATCCGGAAAAGCAGTCTACGAAGGCGTGGGGGAAGCCGCCTGCCACTTTCCACCTGGATAGTGCTTCCCAGTACGACCAGCAGGACGACCATACAAAGTGAGGTGAGACGCATCTTGACGTTTCTCCGTATTCTGCTCTCGATCGGAATTGTCAAATGAAGGCAAAGGAGTGTTGTCGACACTGACTGAATCTTCTTCGATGCCCGTCTTTATATCTGGGTACGTCGCCGTTGTCTTGAGAGACCGGACGTGGAAACAATGTCATGGTCGTAATAGAGTGGCGAGGCAATGATGTTGGTGCACTGGCAGGCGTTGCCAGTGAGACAATGTAACCCAATAAAATGGCATACAGCGGTGCCGGTCTGGGCTGCATCACAGGCGTTCGGGCCGGTCACTATTCAGTATATGGGCAAAATGACTGTTAAAGGCGGCGATGACCCTATCACACCCTGCCGATCCAATTTGATTTTGGAAAATGGAAACAGCAGGTGATGCACTGATGCACGGTGCGACGTGCGCCATGAATCGTACCATGACCCAAAGGATCCGTTAAAGCTCGCTAGAACGTTATTCAAACTTATTCGAGTGCCACACTTCCCTTGTCCTGGCCTGGAGCTACAGTTGTACCCACTGGATGGGTGCCTTCTGCAGACTCCAGACAGGATTGCTAGTGTTTGCTTTGAGAGCATGACAAAGCATCGTGGAGCACACTGCCCTCAACATGTGCATGTGGCTACTGCATGCGAACTAGACTATGTCACAGTATGTGCATTGTAGAACGCCGTCCCGTTAGTTGGTCAGGCACAGAATTCGGAACGAACACATGGTGCTTCTCTCAAGCTCAAGTGGTCTCTTCGTGCTTCCGCTTGGACACAACAGGCCTCCCATCGCAGCTGTATGTTGTAACATGGCGGTACAAACGTCATGGATCACCATCAGGCTGGTGGTAGTAGCAATGCCTCCTTTCTGAAGTTCATCACAGAACAATCTAGAATCTATCTAGACGTGTAGTACAATCTGGACTAACATTCAGCCGATTTTTCCCCCTTGAACTTTGCCTTCTGAAGTCTGTGCGGTCAATCGTGAACGCCAAGTTGAATTTGATAAATACAACCTGTTTGCTGTTTTTGACATATTTCTATGATGGCTATCATCGCAAGTGCACCGCACAAACTCTTTCCTAAATATAGGTATACTACAGTCATGGAAACAGTCACGCAGCGCCTGATGATTGCTATCATCAAAGATACCAAATCATCGATGTAGTCTAGGACGTTCGGAATAAGACTTCCCTCCTGTCTACCTGACGTGATGGATACGTCTTCTGCCATGCGCATGGTCAACACCGGATCATAATTAAAGATATAAACTTCCTGCTGGAGGGCTCGTATCAATAATTTGCTATAAACAGTTGTCCTGCAGAAATCCTACTGCTTACTAGTCGCTCTTGCCACGTACAGGTGTCGCATTGCCTGTATCAGTGCGTTACATGATATTGTAGGTCTGAGACGCAAATGAAGCAAGCAGAACACGGTGAAAGCTGTGTAGGAGCGTTCCCCTAGATCACATTTTTGTTTGTAAGGGTGAAAGCAATCACCATTAGCCCATGCATGAAAATCTAGAACGGGGGTTTTACTGGTAAATTCTGCCTCGAGCTCAGCCACTTTGATATGCAAATCCGATAAGTATTTCAATTGGGACATGTCATCATATCATCATTGTTAGGGTATTCAACGTCATCAGCGCCTCAAGATTGCCTTCGCCCCAGGTCTGGGTCACGTCCAATGTCATACAGTGCTGGCAACTGAAATCCGACCCCTGAGCGGTGCGTTCACATTCTAGCGGTCTCTGTTTCGCAGTTTTAGCATCCCGCGTCGGGTCTTTGCGATGTGAGCGCACCGCTCAGGGGTCGGATTTCAGTTGCCATCACTGTACAGTCATGTAGATGTACATGTACGTGACATGTAGTCAGTCCTGAAGTGTGTTATAGAAGACCGCACTATGTCCACAGTCAGTAGGTGTCCAGTGGTCCAGCATGCTAGCAGTGGCCACTGTATGTACATGTACATCCCGGTAGAGAGAATGAGACAGAGAGGGATAAAATAAAGAGCAACATGTTAACAGCCATCTTGACCAGTCTGTTGCACTGCTGGGCAATTATTAAAATTATGTGTGAAGGCAAGGTTGCACACCGGTCAGCGCTTCCACCATACTTGGTCATTGTTTGTCACAAAAAACACAGTTGGCGTCAGACTCGGCTGGAGGCCGAATTTTCCGCATCCCTAGGCTAGGAACGCCACCACCCTCTCTATATCAGTAATGTCGGGTTGAATTCCAGTATCACAATCTTTCAATTCGGAACTATGGCGATGCTGATACGTCGTGAGGTGCGATTTTGAGAGTCGGGACAGTAAAGCATACCACGGCGGGGGGGGGGGGGCATGAACATGCTTTTTTGGCTACACCAGATTGCTACACCTGATGTTGTTCAAAATCAGTCACAGCATGATGGCGTCCTGCACCAGGTCGTCCTGCACCAGGACAGCAAGTGGCCCTGGCTCTGTATCCGTATCTCACACATGTACAGTGTACCTTGCGCCTGTGGAACGAACGCCAGCTCGACCCTATACTTAAGTACTGCTAGGCTTCATTACTTCCGGTGCCTTGGGCTCAACCATGTAACAGCAAACATTAATACAATGACAAGTACACGACTGTACATCTCCATTTGTATATTGTCTTCTTTTTAGGAATTTCATGTTGCTATACACCTGTACAATTCTTGAAAACTCTGCGTGACGTCTGCGTGACGTCGTGCCACCTGTTGTCTTAAGCCCTTACAGTCAGTATGCTGCCAAGTAGAGAAACTGGAACTGGAACTGATGGTGCATACATCTCCCCGGGAAACACAAGACCAATCATGCATAATGAGTCATGATAATTCGAGGCAGTAGCCACAGCAACTATGAGCATGGATCGCCGCGTGCATACTTCCCAGCAGCCGTTGCATATCATTATTAAAATTTGGGTAAGGATACACACATTCATGTGGTTATGCTATTGCATAATCAGCTGAGATGTTTTGCCGAAGTCGCGGCACAGCGCGCGCTAGAGATACATTGTACACTAGGGACTCACTCCGTATACATGGTAGATGTACATGTACATGTGTGCATAGCGGCCATAAGCGGTCCCGCTGTATACTTAGTACCCTTCGTTAATTAAGTGGTTCCGGAAATCGCGCCGACCCGTCATTAAGACTTCAATCACCCAAATTCCATAGCCTAGTATGTATTGAGAGATTGATCCAGCGCTGTTCAGTTTAAAGTTAGTACTCTCGGAAATGACAAGAGAAGAGACTGATGTCATGTCATGGATATTCAGCTTAAAGTATGGGGCGTTCCCGGTGTCTGGAACGAACGGCCACCCGGCCATTTCTATTCGAAGGATATTGTATACAGCCTCTCAGCTTAGTGTTCGACATATTCCTGTTAGCATTGGTGAGCAACAAGAAGTGTCTTCTAACTTCGAAGTAAAGTTTCCTAACCACTCGATACGGTCTCTTCGCTGCAAACCTAAAATAAAAAGGCCCACCAAACTTTACTTCGAAAAGACAAAAGACAATTCACCGCTTTATCCGTGAACAGAAGAAGTCTTTCACTCCTTGCTAATCTCTCTCTCGCGGTTTCGGGCTCACAGTGTCCACGAAATCTGGGAATTTGTACGTACATGTACATGTAGTACTGTACACGTACCATGATGTACTCAGATGCAGAGCCAAGGATAATTTTATAGAAAAGAAAAGGACCAAGGAACTACAAGACAGTACTGCCGGTCAGTGTAGTTTTGTAACTGGTGACAGGGGTGGTGCTAGTGGACAATATAGCGTAACATGTAGTCCCTTTTTCTTTGCTATAAATCTACCATGATGTATTTCACTCTTCATTCCCCAGACCAGAGTCTTCCTCCCCAGCTGTGGGCCGTTAAGCATTACCGGTAGTATGTGCTATTCTTCAGAATGTTGTGCGGAAGACAGTTGCCCGGATAGAGATTTCCGCTTCCATTCCAAGTGTGAACGACTACACATACTTGTAATCACTTCAAGTCTTTTCCAGTATCAATCTTGTCAGTCATTGTCAATCAATGCAATGTGTTCGAGTACTGAGAAGTTCGCTAGTGAACTCGTGTGTTCAGAAAAGCAGATGGATGCAAAGCCCAAGTGTTCCATTGACCCGAGCAATGATTAAAACGTGTACTCTTCCTGCATTGAAGTACTGTTGTGAAATGACTCACGTGCGTTGTGAAATAACTCGGATCATTTCTTTCCAATGGCAAGAGGCGATATTGGCATTGTACACAGTAATCTGTCTTCACCAGAAAGGCTCAAACACAGCATCTCACTTGTGTGAAATATTGCATTTTTCTTGATTCATGGAGCTATATGTATCTCTTCGGACTGAGATCATGCGCGGTAAGATTCCACCGCTGTACATACAATGCATGTACAGGTACCTGTACGTGGTGGTACTATGAAAGCAGTCCCCGTGAATCACCACTAATACTTTCCAATAGTAGACATATAGATAGAGAGAGAGAGAGAGAGAGAGAGAGAGAGAGAGAGAGAGAGAGAGAGAGAGAGAGAGAGAGAGAGAGAGAGAGAGAGAGAGAGAGAGAGAGAGAGAGAGAGAGAGAGAGAGGAGAGAGAGAGAGAGAGATAGATAGATAGAGGGGAGGGAGAGGGAGAGGGAGAGGGAGGGAGAGAGAGGGAGAGAGGGAGAGAGGGAGAGAGGGAGGGAGGGAGAGAGGGAGAGAGAGAGAAAGAAAGAATAAAAGGAAGAAAGAAAGAAAGAAAGAGAGAAAGAGGGAGGGGGAGAGAAATATAGATAGAGAGAGAGAGAGAGTGCGTAAGTGAGTGAGTGAGTGAAAGAGAGAGAGAATGAAAGAAAGAAAGAGAGAGAGTGCGTAAGTGAGTGAGTGAGTGAAAGAGAGAGAGAATGAAAGAAAGAAAGAGATAGATAGATATAATTATAGAGAGAAAGAGAGAAAGAGAGTCAGTGAGGGAGTGAGTGAGTGCGTGAGAGAAAAAAAAGACAGAAAGGAAGAGATACATACAGTACTTAGTTTCATGTTCCAAATATCTTATGAGAGTGACATTTCACCTCATATTTTCAGTAAGTCTACAGTAGTATGTTCAGCGCGCCGTTGCATGCCTCGTACATGTCAGCGCCAATATCCACGCGATCCTAGTTGCTTAGCTCACTTTCGCCTAACCCACCATGGACATTTGACGCGACTAGAGACTAGTGTCATTTGTCTCTGATACTTCATAAAGCTAGTAGTAGAAAGCTAGTACCGGTAGTAGTTATTCGCACCATCTGATTGGTTTAACTGTGCCAAGACGCCTACCGAACCGAGCACAATAGTAGGATTTCTGTTTTCTTCTGGCCTTCTCCATGAGCTGCAGAGGGACGCTTTGCAATGGCCGTTCACTTTGAGAAATCAAGGACGACGGGACCATCGGACTGACGGAACCTACATCGGCTTTTCTCCAACTGCATCTACGGGCCAATGTAGGGCAACTCTGCGCTGGGAGTTGCTTTTCGCGATGATGTCAGCAGTTTCACTGTTTCAGCAAGCCGGACTCGCGTCTCACAAGACCATGGTGGTTAGTCGAGAAGGCCTCTGCCGCCTGCTGTTCGGCTGGATGTTCATTTCAGTTGCCCTTTCTCAAGAGCTAAGGATCTACTATTTCCCAACATCGAGTCTCTGGACAGGTAGCTGTTTGGAATTGTCACGTCTAACCAGTGGCAGTGGAGCTCAGAGTAGAGTGACATGTCGAACCGATCAAAATAAAGTCTAATGACCAACAATGCAGCTGTATTATCGCCGATTATCGTCTCAAATCATCAAAACCAGAGTGCGACACTGCAAGATGAAACACAGCGAGGTTTCGAAAAACGCAAATACCTCTGGCGCAGGACAGAAAGAGTGTTCGATCAAGACGTCCTACTATTCCTGCAATGCGTCCTGAGGACCCGACAGTATCGCGCACACCCAATGTTAGAAGCTACGTCGTAACGAGGTATACCAATCGTGTTGACGACTGAATGAAGTGGCCACCAGTCTGCCCCAAGACACAGCGTTTGAGCACCCTGGTCTGTCCATGCAGGCGGTGGGGGAGTGCTGACAGTCTCGTCGAAGAGATGATGCTGCATTTCCTCCTGAATTCGGCGGATGACCGCTTTGGTTTGCTGGAGGCAAACCATCCATGAATGTGGATGCCAGATTCAGGAAGGAAGGAAACCACCTCGAAGATTCGTGGCGGTAGTATGTGTAAGTAATCATTCCCGTAATCTACTTTCAGTCATATTTTCCTTTCAAGAATACTGATTTCTTCTCCTCGCAGGATATTGCATTTGGTTTAGGTATCAATTTCAGGAGTAAACCAATCCATTTGGTAAACTAATCACATTATGCATAACATGGCCGCTTTTGCCCTGAATCCTCGTTTAGTCATGCCTAGTACGAGACCAACTCGTGGAATATAATACCTATAGTTGCCTTAATGAAATATTGTGCCTGACATCGCTAAAATGATTTTTTAGTTAAGATTAAGCTGAATTGTCTTCTGGCACCCTTGTTTAATAAGTACAGCAGAATACCTCTCTGTTTATAACTTAGTGTCTTCTAAAATTATTTTTTTAATTTTTTCTCATGCACAATGTTGTCTATTCTACCTCCCTCAAACTAATGAGCTCTTTTCCTGCTTTTAATGTTGTGGTTCATTTTCTTCCTCATATACATGTGCGTTTTATATTGTAGTACTGTAAAACTGCCTAATTTTCGCGGGAAGAGCAAACTTTTGCCTTCGCAAACTCGCTGGTTCTAAGAAATCGCGAAAGTTTATTGACTCCAATCTTGCACGGGCGGTTTACAGTATAATAAGATTAATAACTGAACAAGCGGCATCATTATTATGCATTGTAGCTCTACCGAAAAAGACATGAGGATTAGAGGCTTAACCTGAAATTTGAAATTGACCCCGATTTGGAGGGGGGGGGGCATAAAAAATCGGAATGTTGTAAGGGATCAAGTTAAAAAGTTAAAAATGATTATTATATGCTGAAAAGGGCAAGAAATGAAATGCCAAGTTTACCCATCATAATCCTTCAACTCAGTAAGAATAAGTTGCAGTTCTTCCTGTGCGGATGTTATCTCTGCTCTGAGATGGGCCATCTGTGGTTCCCGTCGACGTAGGCTTGACTTACCAGCTTCATCTTCTGCCTTAGTTTCAGCCACGTCTTCAGTCTCGACATGCATCATTGATGAGCGGTCTGAAGATGGCGACCGGACAGCTTGCTCTGCTGGCTGCTCTACAATGGCCGTTGCTGGAGTAGTGGATGTGGACAATCTTAGAAATGCGACTTCCGGTGGCAGGACAGCAGTTACCAGCTTCCTGGGCTCGATCTGCTCCTCTCGCTTATCCCTAGCATCGGAATTCTGGAATGCACGATATGAACACATGGCCAGGAGATCTTGATCCATAGCTTCGGCCTGCAGGAACGATTGGGCGTCCTGTATGGTTCTCAGTGCACCCGTCAGCACGTTCAATTCGAACGAAGGATCTTGCAGAGCAGACACAGGTGCACACAGTCCAGACTTGTCAAACGTAACCTGGTCACTGCCTGCGGCTAGCACAACTCTCCGCACGCAGCAACGTGATTGTGAACAGCCAAGGTGAGTGTAACACTTCTTGCCCAGCAGATTCTAGACAGGTGGCACAGGAAGACAAAAAGAGCAAACGCTACAGTCAATAGCTCATTCACTTTCAATTCTTTGAAACCTTTACTTGAACAAAAACAGCATTTTGAAAATCACAACAAGAACTAAAGCCCGTAAGTTTACAATTAGCGATTGATTTCGAAACCCTTGCCTAATGGATCGAAGACTGGGAAATACATTCGGCTGGTCCATCCAGAAACAAGACAACTGACTTCTCAAACCAGAATTCGTAGTCC